AAAAACATGAGTATGAAAGGTATTTTGGGACACATTTTTAGACAGTTATGTAGGTGCCAAGGTATTTTTGAAATCCCACTAGGAATCTATCTACATTTTAGGCACTCAAATAACCTCCAAAATATGGTCCTTTGGCCTCTCCAGACTTTTAAAATATTTTCAAACCTGGTTTGCTTTTGAGTTACAGACTATAAACCTTATAATCACTAAGACTTAACCTACAACTGCTCCCTTCAGGAAAGGAGGGAGGGAGGGAGGATGGGAACTCTTCTTCTGTCTTTCCTTTAGAATAATAGTACAGGCAGTCCCCGGGTTACGTACAAGATAGGGACTGTAGGTTTGTTCTTAAGTTGAATCTGTATGTAAGTCGGAACTGGCGTCCAGATTCAGCCACTGCTGAAACTGATCAGTTTCAACAGCGGCTAAATCTGGACACCTGTTCTGACTTACATACAGATTCAACTTAAGAACAAACCTACAGTCCCTATCTTGTACGTAACCCGGGGACTGCCTGTACTATTATTCTAAAGGAAAGACAGAGGTAGACATTTTTTAAGACAAACATAATCCAGGCCAGGATGTTAATGGTTAACCACTGCGGGCTGAAGCAGCCTCCTGCCCACACAGATGGGAGGCTGCTTCAGCCCCACATGGCCTGCAACAGGCAGGGGACAGCCCCCTTCTGCAGTGGTCCCAGTAGCACTCCAGCTGGGCCAAAGTATCCCCCTGCATTTAAAAATTTAAACTTAACATTAAACCGGTTAACTAATTAAATGGGATTTTACATCCCTACTGACAACTGGAATACACTTGCTTCAGGACAGTATTTAAATGTAAAAATCTCATAAAAATGGTTTGTCATTCCTCCTGCCTTTGATGTATGATATCAGAGTATAGGTGATGACTAGGGATGTTAGCTATTGGATAACAGAACAGTCGACTAACCATCTGAATTCGTAGCAGTTAGTCAACTATTCTATAGCCCCTGGGAAGCGGGACTGGCAGCAAGTGCAGTCCAGCCCCATCCCCAGAGAGTTTCCTGACACCACCTCTTGCCACTGCGGTGCCAGGCAGTAGCTGGTCTGCAAGGGAAGCCAATTAAAAAAACAGCTCCCTGCTGTCTCTGATAAAGGGATGGCAGCAGTCCTTGAAGACTGCTGGGGGGTGGAGTGGAGTGGGGGTGGGGGGTGTGTGAGTGTGAGAAGAGTGGGGGGGGCTGCTGCAGCATTTAAGCCAGCTCCCCCCCCCAGCACTGGCTCCTGCTCCCATCTTGCTGCTTCCTACAGAAGGAGCAAGGGGGGGGGGGGGGGGGGGGGG